GTAGCATAGATACACAATATATAGTACAGTAATCGCAAGTTCTGACAGGATCAATTCAATCTTCACAGGGATACTACTCTCTAAGCGTTCACAATGGATAAAATACAGTTTGAAAAGTTATCTTTGGGTCTACTTTTAGTATTTAGGTATTCTATTTTTTAAATTTCTTCATTAAATTTCTTGAAAAACATTTTTTTAAAAATTGAGTAAAACTTTTGTTGAAAAAAAGTTCAAGCATACACGATGAAGATTGAATGAGATGCTAAAATAATACATCGACGGATATTTATTTTGATGTATTCATTATTACGGTTCTTCTACAGGATGCCCACAGTGTATTCGCTAATTGCTTTGGTCATAAACTAATTGGCGTGATCTCATAATGCACAACATTGCATGTGAGTTAGGGTGTGGGTGTATCCTATAGAATTATCATTAATTTTTTCGTTCATATTATCTAATGACATGACAAGTCAAATATGGATTCAAATCATTGGTCAAAATAGTATCATGGAGTACAAGTGAAATTAATATAGTACAGATATATATCATTAGATGTTTTTCTATGCCGGAAACAAGATATTTTTATTTTTCATATACGAGTTCTTATTAAACTGAAAATTATTTATATTTATATTTATTTTAGCCAAAGAAAATAGCTAATGTTGATTGTTTAATTGCAAAAGATTCGTATGTAATCTTATATTCTATCGTTAAATAAACAAAATATAATATTGTATATATCTAGACCAAGTTATTGTTTCTATTTATCATCACATCGTGATCATTGTTCAACATTACAAGCTCGTCAATTTCTTGTTCTATTTGATAATACTGATTTATCAGCACAAAAAATTCAACGACTTATACTTTATTTAACATTACACATTCCACAACGTAATCAATTTTTTTTGCCATCAGTTTGTCGAGTAAATTTTTATTTATTTATATTTTATTATAAAAAAAAAAAGAATCTTTTTTTATTTTCTTTAGTTTGCTCAACGTCTTTCATCATTAGTTGGTGAAACTCTTGGTGCTTTACCAAATTTTTCACAATATAAAAATTTATTCTATCTTTAAATATTAACAGTATTCTTGTTTGAAAAAAAAAAACTTTGTTTATTCTAGTCGAAAGATTTTGTTGTTTTTTTTTTTTTTGTTGTTTTCTTCAGATAATATGAAATGTTTTTGTTATTGTTATTTAAATGTTTTCTATGTGTTTATTCTAGATGTATATTCAAATTGGACATCAAGAATATTTAAATTATTCATCATTAAATACATTTGATGATTTAACTCAAGAATTAAATCATTTATTAGGTGAAAATTCCTATATTATTGAAAAAAATGGCAAAAAAATAGATTTATCTAATGAATATCAATTGTTAGAAGATGATATATATAAAATTTGGCCTAAAGTACTTGGAGGAAAAGTAAGTCTTAGAAAAAAAAATCTATTTATTTTGATACATGTATTTTTTCTTTTAAGGGTGGTTTTGGATCTTTATTACGTTCATTTGGTAAACAAATTCTTATATCGAAAAATAAAGAAGCTTGTCGAGATTTAAATGGACGACGAATGAGAGATGTAAACAATGAGAAAAAGCTTAAGGTATGTAAATTTACAAGTAATATGTATGGGTACTTATCTTTTGTTTAACATTGTTGACAGAGAGAGAGAGGGCCATTGGGTACTCGAGATTTATGTGTGCCTATAGAATAAAATATGAGCATTTAATTTCTCTTCCATTTAGCAAGGTCAAAACGTCTGTCTGTGTATGTGATCTATTCTTAAACAAACGGGAACTTTTGAGGTGACATTTTTTTAGCTGCATTCTATTGTCGTTAAAGTAGGACATATTTAATCAATAGAAATCTACTTTTTATTTGCTAATTATTGAACAATAACATCTGTTTTTTATTTTAGGAATGGATGCAGAAACAATTAGAAAAATCTGCTACATCATCAACTGATCAAAAAAGCAAATCATCATTAGATGAAGAGAAAAATGATTATCGAAGTGTTCCACCACCACATAAATTTTCTGATACAGCATACGATGAACAAAAAAAACAAATTGCTGAAGATATGAACGAAGCTGTACAAGTAGCTACTGCATTAATTCATGCAGAAAAAAAGAAGAAAAAATCATCAACAGCAGTTAGTACACGAGATGATGATAATGATGATGATCAGGATGATAAAAAAGTAACAACAACGAAAAAAAAACGACGTCATTCAGATGAAACACTTGAAGATGGAGAACTTAAAACTAAGAAAATAAAAAAAGAAAAGGGTGCTAATGCAGCATTTTTTCTCGGTATTGATCTTGGTGATGTATCAAGTGACGATGATGATGAAGAAGCAACTCATGCAAGTGATGCAAAGAAAAAAAAATTGGCTAAGAAAAAGTAAATAACTGATCTGTTTTGGTTTTTGTACTTGTATGTCTTGTTCATTTTGATTCTTACTATCGTATAATAAATATTCGATTTTGTTCAGTATCTATTTAATTTTCTTTCTATAAAATATCTTCAACAATTGATCATTATATTCTTATTTTAATAGAAATTTTCATGACGAAAGAAAATAAAAATAAATAACAACATGCATTAATGATTAAAATTCAAGATCAAAGATAACAAATGCATATTCTTTTTTCTCTACAGCAAAATTTTTGACGGAAAGATATAGATTTTATATGATAGATTGCTGTAGGGTTAAATCCAGACACCAAGATAAAAGAAAAATTTTTCGTAATCCTTTGGGAGAAATACAATCGTTGTATGAAATAATATTTAATTAACCATGTTACTTATTTTATGAATGATAACTCGTGCATTTTTAAGAGACTTGCTATATGATAAATAATCATCATAGAGCAAAAAAAAAATTAAATAATAACCTAAAATATTTTTAATCTTCATTTTTTCCTCTTAAGTATACAATTATTTTCTTTACTCCATAATTTATTATATTGTTGAACTCAAATAATTCACATTTTGAAAAGAAGAGTTAATGAGGGAAAAATTTTTACGTACTTCTTAATTTCTAAAAAAACCTAAAGTCAAGTAGTATACATATGATTGAATACTTATGGTATATTTCTTTTCTTCATTAAAAAAACTTCTCATAGAATGGATTTTAGTCTTCGAGAAAAAATCATAAAAAATTGCATAGCTTTATTTTGCCCTAGGAATCTTAATATTTTCTTTTCTTCTATCGATAAAATTTTATTGTTTTATTATAAGTATTCTATATTGTTTGTATTACGTGTTTTTTCAACTCGATGAAACTCTTTTTTTTTTCTGATAAAACAAAATGTTATTTTCCAATTCATTAATTATCAATTTCGATAGATTTGATTACATAATACAAAAAAAAAAATCTATTTACTATATTTAGACACTATCAGATTTCTTTTTCAATAGAATCTGTAGATGAAAATGCAAAAAAATATTATAGGATAATATCCATTTCCTTATCCAATGCGTAAATCTCTACTTAATTTATAATATATTCTATCACAAAAACAAAAATTGTTTAAAGTAAATATTGAATTATTTACAGTAAATGTTAATATATTTCTGAGCGCGCATCATTAACAAATAATACAAGGCCGGAAATATTTATACAGAATAATTGTTCTCATAAAAAGAAATCATTGAAATATAAATATTGTAAATGAGATAACGAACATTTTTATTTATTCTAAACATGATCAAGTGAGTAATATATATTGATAGTTTTCTTTTTACATTCAATGCAAGTTATAAAAAAAAAGAAAATATTTTTAGAAATTTAGTGTAATATATATAAACTTCGTATCTTATTTTCAACTTCATTTAGAAAATATCCTAATTCTAGAGTCTTATCAGAGAAAACATTTGCAGTAAAATAAATTAAAAAAAATTATTGATATTGACGGTATAGATAAATATTGTATATTTGAATATATTTACAATCACTCAACATCTGTTAATTGAATATAAAAAACATGCTTTGTATTGATTATTTATAAAATACGACGACAGCTTTCTATGGATTATACGTCCAAATTCTGTCAGTTTTATAATCTTAAAACAAATAATTTCCATCTGTTCTATTAGCATAACTTCCGTTACAGAAATAACTAAAGGATACTATCTATATTTTCATTATTTTCTCATTGATCATTGATTTTTGTATCTTAAATTGATCAATGATGGACAGAATAACAGAATGAATATTCTTTCTTGCAAAAGGTCAGCAGTGAACCTTTCTAATGTTTATTAGCATAATAATGATAACAGTAAAATCATATAGTGTATTTATTATATTTATAATAAATGTCATTATTCTTCGAAATATATACCAGATATAAGTCAATAGAGCTGTTTTGGGATCTTTGATCAAGGTTCAAACAGAAGTATTTATGCATAAATTTCCTATACGGATATGAATATTGCAATTGACATCTGGGTTCTAATGTTTATTTTTATTAACCAACTGAAGAAAAAGTTATACTAAATAGATGATACTTTTCTTTTTCATATTAGTGAAAAGTTTTAGGATAATGAATTTTTCCATTCTTCAATAGAAATATATATATATATATATATATTCTATTTATTTGCTATTGAAAGATTAAATCTGTACGTAGTCAAATGTTTATCACTAGTTATACTTTACATTTCATGTTCATCAATAATTTTGTTGTCAACATATATCAGTTTGACATAAAATAAAAATAAACATGTATTACTCTATTGATTAAGAAAATATAACTTCAAGGCATATGAGATATAATAATATAGGATAAGATAGTTCTTGTTTTCATTTCTTCTGTGTGGGATTTTGCTTTTCTTATTTTGCTTTTTTTTTTAAATAAACATGTAATCCTTAATTGACATTCGATATTGAATTAATGTTTATAATCACAAAAGAACAACAAAAGCAAAGCAAACAGTAATCTGAACATGAGAGAAAAAGAAATATAATTATAACTTATGATTAACAATCATTTAACTGTCGGTATACGATCTTCAATTTCAAAGAGTAGAGCACTTTTTGCTGATTTTAATGGGCTTTCAATTAATTGTTCTTTTGTTAAATCGTCAACATTATTATTTACAGTAATTGAATATCGATGATTGTTTATTAAATTTATTGATGAAGGACATGGTTTTGTATTTTGTACGAAAATACTTCCATGACGATTTGATGGCATCACTCGTGTTACACCATTTCGAGCATCGAAACCAGCTGGTAATGGTCGACAAAATAAAAAATGTTGACCAACTTGTCGAAATCTTCGATCGAAAAAAGCATAAAGAATAAATGTTGATGATGCATTTATAACAGATAAAAGATTATTGATAGCTAAATATTGCCTTGCACGTAAATCAGCCATTAAACTTTGACCAAACCATGAATAAAGCACATTAAATATAAAATAAGGAAATTGTGTAGCAAGAAATACAAATACAATTGATAATAATAAGAAATTAATAGCATTTGATGATCGATTTTGTTTTTTTAAATTACCCAATAAACGTTTACGTCGACGTACAGTGTATAATTTTTTAATAATCATTGTTTTACATATTATTATTGTTGATAATGGAATAAGAAAAACAAAAACAAAATAAAGATATTTACGCATTAATGTACGAAATAATGGATGTGCTCCAATATCTGATACATATATAACTCGTATATTATCTTTTTTAATAAGAGTAAATTCAAACCAAAATGGTATACAATATAATATACAAAATAACGAAACACATAAAACAACAAATACTGCATGCCGTGGACTACGCCATTTTTGACCTCGAAATGGTAAACATATAAGAATAAATCGATCAAGAGCTACTGTTGCTGTTAAATATATTTGTATTAATAAACATGTTACATGTATAGGAAAAACTCTTGTAAATATATATTGATAAAATGTTTCAGCACGAAAAGTTGATCGTATTCCATGTGTTAATAAAAAACCAATTAAAACACATGATGATGCACATGATAATGCAAATATATAAATATTTGTTGTTGAAGTACGCATAATTCGACTGGATAATATGACACATGTTAAAGCATTACCTAATAAACCACATATACATACTATTGATAGTAAATAACCTTCGACAATACGTTTAAATTCCACAAGACGTTGTTCAGAAAATGCCGTCGCCGTTGTCGACGATACATTCATGATTGTTCGTTATAATAATCAATTAAGATTTTCTCTTACTGTTACTTGTATTTGTTACTCGTAAAGTATATTATGATGAAAACTAAAAAAATATGAAAGAGATTTTTTTTGTCTTCTTATTAAAAATTGATAGCTGATAAATATATTCAAAAAAAAAATGCTTTGAACTATGAATAAAATTTACTTTTCTTTCTCTCGATTTCTTTTTCTCATTGAATAGAGTGTAAAATATAAAAATAAAATCTACAGAAAGTGAATTAGAATAAAATATCCAATAGGTTTTGGATAACGAACTAATCCTCTTATGGTTTTAACTTACACACGAGACAAAGCCAATCTTTATTTATGAATGCAAACTATGGAATAAATGTAGAACTGATTTCTATACTCTTTTTTTTTTTTTACATATTCAAAAGATGATTGCATATAGGCGGAAAAAACAAATGATGATTATTCCCTGAGCATCAAGGTCAATTATAGTGTTTTTTTTTTAATTCTTTTTTTTTGTATGTTTGTCACATTCACAAAAGTACTAACACTGAAGAGAAAAAAAAAGGGAACTCGGTTTTATTGTCTGTGTCAATCGTCAATGTCAAACTGCCTGATGAAAATCTGACTAAAGATAACAAAAACTAAACTTTTTTTTTACTGGGTGTTTTATATAACTATCGCATAGTTTATAGTAACTATAGAGGTGCCTACATGCAATTAGTTTAATCTGTGTATACGTACGTGTGTTTGTTATTCCAGGACACCCTAATGAGAAAAGAAAGCTGAGTAAATTGACAAAGAGTGCAATTCAATTCTATCAGATTACTTTGTGCGACAATACACAGCTGGTAATAAAACTATCTTTATGGGTGATAACGGGAATTGTGCGCAGCGCATATAATTTAATCAATATGAACGAAGTACGTTTATAACATTTATTCTAAAGGTCTTTCTAATTTACAATTGTATTACGAGTTCCAATCTCGAAATTGAGTGGCAATAAAATGAAAATAGAGAAACTATTCTCTAATTGCCACTTATATCCGTTTTAGTATAAATGTATATACATGTATGTTATTTATTGTGCAGCGAAATAATCCGAACGATTAGAAGTATAAAATACACTAAGGGCATATTTCTCTTAATAATATATTTTCAAGATTATCTATTTATGTTGAATGAAATAAGAAGAGCATTATAAATACGTCACATCGAAGTAGATCAACATATCTATCATCAATATTGAATTTCTATCTATGTTTTTTTTTTATCTCTCTATGTTTCTGTCTATTGATCTTCTTCATTAACCGGAAACACTGCGTGCTCATCAGTATTATTGGGACGATGCACGCACACTCTTTTTTTTTTTCATCACTGCCTAACAACTGAAACGAATGTCTCTTCTTCTTAGTTATATATAGGAAAAAAATAGATTGAGAGAAAACCTTCGAAAGAAACAAGAATGGAGAAAAAGAGAAAGAGAGAAAGAATAGGCCAAGGAGAATAGAAGAAAGAAGTTTTACTTGCTTACAGAAATTATCAAATAAGATATTGGTATTATTATGTATGTCATTGATTGATGATTGTTTTATTATATCGAGCATGCGATTATGTTTAGATTTTTGATGACCTTCAAAGCTGTAAAATCAAATTGATTTTGTTATATTTAACAGACAATAGTTAGATACTTGATAGAATTAATAGGAAACGTATGAAAGTACTCCAGTCAAATATGGATGCTAATTCACTGAGAAAGACTGAAAATGTCTTTTTTTTTATAAATCGCAATAGTTCTACAAGTTCATATGACTGATAGATAAGCAAAGAATCTCTTATTGCCAACAGCAAAATCCATTTATATAAGAGTTACAACGTCTTCGTTCATTCAATTTACTTTATTCAATCAATTAATATTTCATTTGTTGACGATCTCGGATACTCATATCTTTGCCATTCATTTGCTATCAAAACATATTATCTTTCTAACAGCAAATAGACTATTATAATCTTTCAGCTTATGTTAGTAATGCTTTTTTAGCTTCGTTATCATTTTCTTGTCGATAATGTATCTGGTCAATGTCAAAATTAGATGAGTAGTCCACGTACTAGAATTGACAACAAATGCCATTCAGACTCAAGCATCTTTATTCAATTGTATATGTAAAAACCATTGAAAATGTCTAGTTAAAATGCCATAACAAAGCCACTCGTCTTAATGTATTCTTAAATTCCCTAAAGGCCTTGTAGATAAATTGATGACAACAATAAAAATAACAAGAACTTTGTGTTTCTAACATTTGTATTTTATATAAAGGAAATAATTTAATAAATCTGCATATGACAAATGAATACTGATTGATAAGTTTAAAAAGAAAACGCCAAACAATAGAATTGTTTTTCTGTTATTATAGTATGATAGATTGTTTTTGTTCTTCTCGTCTTCATTGCTTCATTTATTTCATATCCTATCTATCATTAATATGCAATGTGCAACAGATTCTATTAATCGACTAAACAAAAACCATTTATCATCTTCATCATCAATATCACAGAATCAAATCTACATCAACACACAAACAAAAAAACACATCAAAGACACATACTAATCGATGTAACGAGAGAATATCTACATATATATTTATATAGAAGCAGATGTCTAGAGAAAACTTATTGAGCTTTGATTACGAAACAAAAAGTAATTGAACGTACATACTTAATAAAATAATCAATAGTTGTGGTACTTGCGTACATTACTAATTTTTCCAGAAAAAAAGAAGTATATCAAATTAGATGAATACCAAACGGTATATTTTTGTGTGGTGGTAATTTTTCTTTCATCAATAATTAATGTCACTCGCTGACATATATATGATAGAATACAGCTGAAGGACAAATAAAGAAAATAGTAAACAATAAGAAAGAAAAATCGTATGTTCATAAGCCAAAGGAAACAAATTGACAAGAGAAAAGACAGCAAAATAAAAAGAAAATGTATCATCAGGCAAAAAACAACAAAAAATAATGATAAGAAAAAGCGATCCACGTTAAACATGTAACTCGACGTTGAGCATTGTTTACATCATTTTTATTTTAAATTAATTCACATATTTGTTTTTTGTCGTCTACAAAAATAAGAAAATAATTGTTAATATCCCAAATATTTTGTTTAATTATAAATTCAAAAATAAGATTCCTATCACAAAAATACTGATTGGTTTTTTTGTTGTCTTAGAAAATCTTTAACGAATTTGATTGATTGTTTATTTGTCAGATTTATCTTATTATATTATATGAGACTTCCATACAAATTCTTATATGTAAATTGATCAAAGGGATAAGCTAATTTTATTCTATTGCTCAAACAAATACTAAACAATATAAGAAAGTCTGTCTCCGGTTTCGCTTAACAAATCTATTGAATTATTAAATACATTTGAAACACATGCACCAAATGTTCTTATTCGATTGCTGATGTAAAATATATTGTTTTTTTTAGTAAAAACAATAATAGGGTTGAAAATGATATTAGTATTGAATTTATTATGTACAATAGTTGTATACAGTCTTTAATATATTCATAATATTTTGTTTTCTAACATAAAGAAAAAACTGAACAGAATAAAGTTTTTCATAAATGGATATCTATACAAGGGATTTCAATAAGTGTTTTTTCTCTGAAGAGATGTGTCATAATTTTAGAGCTCCTCGTTGCTTGACATCTGTGACACAGACCAATAAACATTTTACTGGGCTTTTTTCTAAATAATATTTCTCGTTAAAAGTTTGCCCATCAACTGTTTAGTGGATATTCTAGCTAGTTCTGTCATGCTGCAAATTGCTATTTCTGGTTTGGAGATTGTTCTACAAACAGAAATAATTGAATTTCATACTCTTAAAGAAGACAGAAAAGCCTAAAAACTGTCTTATAATTGATGCTAAAATAAACAGATGGCATCCTATTTGTTTGTGTCTAACATAGGCTTCGGTGTATTTTCTTTCAAACATAATTATAAAATAGAAAATTTGAATCAGAATTTTATTTCTATCCTATTATAGCATCAGTTGTTGAAATTAAAAACTGTATAGTAAAATATTTTTTCGATATTTAAGTGAAAAATGTAAAAATTTGTCTATTGTATAAAACCTATTTGCTTAAAATGCATATATTTATCTTAGGATTATTATCGTACTGGCTTTCTAAACAATTAATTAGATACTGGCAATAATAATGAATGTAATGAAAAGTTTCTATTAGAAGATAAGCAGATGTCAATACAAAGTTGATCAGATACTCAGAGAAAATCTGTTTTTATGATATGGGTGAGATAATGCATATGTGTTATATTAAATCACTGACATTTCATTATTCTCAATAAAGCATATACATGAAGAATATGTTGATATTCATTTATAAAACAGAAATATTCTTTTCACCCAACGTTTTCTCGTAGGTCTTTATTCAGCATAAAGGTCGAGGGGTTGGCGCTCCTCCGATGATTCAATTTGCTTGTGTGGAATTTGTGATTATTGTACCACATATACCAGGTTGTTTGTGTACCCAAAAAGAGGTGTTCGCCTTTCAAAGTTTGTAAATTGCTCCTCTGGCAGACAAGATCTGGATAAAACACTATTGCATTGTATATGAATATGTCATAAAAGAATATTTTTTTTGGGTCGTTTCACAGCCAAAACAAATGATAACTAACTATTTCTGACTTATATCTACTGGAATGTCAGAAAAATCAAGATTATTCTGTAGAAATTACTTTATATTAAATAATCCAGATATAAAAAAATAATAAGCTTTTGTTCTTGAGAAAAACATCGTTTCAAGAATTCAGTAGAAGCAAAATACTTGGGACACTATCAAAAAAACGTTTTTTTTTTAAATAGTAACCATTTTCTGAAGGTTGTCGAATTTCATATGAACAATATTTTGAACAAAAAAACATACACACACGCCGATTCGATCAAAGTTCCTATGAAAAAAATGTTGAGCCCGACAGGTT